TTATAAATTGCCGTTGTATTCACTTCCGCCTAAAACAGTTTGCAAAAATAATAAATCAGCTTTGTTGGAATCAGATTTTGTAAATGATGCTATTCAAGATTTGTTAGATAGATCTTTAATTAAAAGATGTTCTGTTATTCCATATATTGTAAATCCATAAACTGTTTCTGTGCAAAGGTCTGGTAAGAAAAGACTTATTCTTGATTTGCGAATTGTTAATCATCATCTCTGGAAACAATCTGTTAAATTTGAGGATTTAAAAGTAGTACTTTCATATCTTCGAGAAGGTGTTTATTTACTCAAATTTGATTTAACGAGTGCATATCATTTCATTGATATTTATCAGCCCCACACAGAATTTCTAGGGTTCGCATGGCCAGATAACGGCATTGTTAAGTATTATAAGTTTCTTGTTCTTCCTTTCGGATTATCAAGCGCTTGCTATATTTTTTACAAAGTTAACAAGACCACTTGTTAAGAAGTGGCGTAGTGAAGGAAAAATGGTTTCTATGTTTTTAGACGATGGGTTTGGGTGCGATGTAGATTTTAATAAGACGGAAAAGCTTTCGTCCGATATTAAAAAAGATTTGCTACTTTCCGGTTTTATACCTAACGCACAGAAGTCAATTTGGATCCCTGTTCAAATTATGGAATATTTAGGAATTGTATTAAATTCCGTTTCGAGTATTATTTATATTCCGGATCGTAGATTGATTAAAGCAAATGACACTATTATTGAACTTTTAAATATGCATAAAGTTCATAGACGGGTTCCTGTACGAAATGTTGCCAGTATTGTTGGTCAACTTATTTCGATGTCAGTAGTGTTAGGTCACGTGACACAGATCATAACGAGATATTTAAGTGCGGATGTACTTACCGCGAAGCACTGGGATTCATATATTTCTCTTTCTCCAGAGTCTGTCGAACAATTATTATTTTGGAAGTCCAACGTTAGTTTGATAAATAGCAGAGATATATTTCAGAATCAAAAGGTTTCTAAAATAGTATATTCTGATGCCAGCTGCACGGGTTATGCAGGGGATGAAGTGTCAACTATAAATGGGGTTTCCCGTGGTAATTGGAATTGTAAAGAATCTAGTTATTCCTCCACTTGGAGAGAGCTTGAAGCTGTGTATAGAGTTTTACAGTCCTTGATTCATATTTTAGCTCATGAAAGGGTTCAATGGTTCTCGGATAATCAAGCGGTTGTCACAATAGTGAAAAAGGTTCTATGAAAAAAGACTAACAGGAAATATCTTATAAGATTTTTCAGTTTTGTTTGTCAAATTCAATTTTTCTTGAGTTGAATGGATCCCTCGTTTGAAGAATGATAAAGCTTATTATTTATAACAATTGTAGATTTTGACGATTAGGGACTTTTCTCTCAAACTTTTGAGTTACTCCAAAAACGTTTTGATCTTTTTGAAATAGACTGGTTTGCTTCCGAAAATAATGCGAAAGTAGATTGTTTTTATTCCAGATATTGGAATCCATCTTCTGAAGGGGTAGACGCATTCACAGAGTTTTGGGGCAGTGATTTCGGATAATTTGTCCCACCAATATCAATAATTCAAAGAGTATCGTCAAAGATGAAATTTGATAAAGCAAAAGGTGTTATTGTCGTGCCTTGCTGGAAATCAGCTGTATTTTGGCCTATTCTCTGTCAAAACGGAAATTTTATGTCTAGCGTTAAGGATTGGATAGATTTGCCTACAAATAGAGATTTTTATACTCGATGTAAGTCCGGGAAAGGTATTTTCGGCAATACAGATTTAAAATTCCGAGTGATAGCTTTATTTATTGATTTTTCAAAGGCAGATTAATCGTATTACTTATATCAGTATTTTATTTAAGAGTTGTTCCCCTTTTAATAAGCAAAAGTCAGTGAAAAGATCAGTGAAAAGGCAGTATTGCCAGCAATAGACAGTATTGTCAGTGAAAAGGCAGTATTGCCAGGGAAAAGACATAGTTGTTAGTGGAAAGGCAGTATTGCCGGAGATAGACATATTTGTCAGATATGATAAAAGGAATTTATCAGTGACAAAACTTAATTGATTGATAAAATGTACAGTCAAATTGTTTTTTATTGTGATTATTTGTAAATTTACATTTCAAGCATACTTACTAATTGTTTTCTTTTATTACACGTTTATTTTCACAGACGCATAAAGATGAAATTGATGCATTACCCGAAGTTTTGGCAGGAAAGGTGGACCTACTCCCGGATCTATTACGCAAGTCGAGGGCTGATAGCACAAGTCGGAAATATGAGAACAGTTTTTCTCGCTGGGAGAAATGGGCAAAGGGTAATGGTTTAAGGAGTGGGGGTATCTTTCCTGCTAAGGTTTTTCCTTTCGCAATTTATTTGGCTTCATTGATACAGACAGCAAATACGCCAAGTCCTGTGATTTCTGCTTTTTATGCAGTTAAATGGTTTCATGATTTATTTGACTTTAAATCGCCAACTGATTCAAAGTTAGTTACAAATATTTTAGAATCATCTAAAAGATTACTGGGCAAACCAACAGTGAAAAAAAGAACCTTTTACAAGGGACATATTATCAAAAATGTATGATCATTTGTATTCTTCAAAAAATTTAAAAAATCAGAGAATCATTTGTGCGTGTCTTCTAGCCTTTTCTGGATTTTTGAGAAGTTCCGAATTGTTAAGTATTAAAGTGTCTGATATTGTTTTCTTTCAAACATACATGTCAATTTTTATAGAAAGCAGTAAGACTGATAAATATAGAGATGGGTCTTGGATAACTATAGCTAAAACAGGAACTTGTTTATGTCCAGTTGTTAATATTCAGAAATTTATATCATGGTCGTCACTTAAAAATGATGATTTTGTATTTTGTAATTTGAATTGTTCAAAAGAAAGGTATTCTGTGAGAAAAGTTAACAAGGCTATGTCATACACGACTTTACGTGAAGAATTTCTTAGGGCTTTAAAGCCACATGTTAAAGATGTCAAGCAGTACTGCTTACATTCTTTAAGGTCAGGCGGTGCTACTGTTGCCGCTAATAAAGGAGTAAAAGACAGGTTATTTAAACGGCATGGTCGCTGGCTTAGCGACAGTGCAAAAGTGGATATGTGAAAGACGATTTAAATGAGCGTTTATCTGTATCTTTATCTTTAGGATTGTGAATTTTGATTGACAGTAAGCTTCATTAACTTTTGATATGTAGCAATATGTGTGTTATATTTGTATGAATATACATGTATCATGATTGATATTGTTCATTAGAATATTGTTCATTAGAATAAATTTCGTTCACATTCTATCATTCTGATTTTTGTTTAAATTTTTTTATTATTATTATCATTTTAATAAGATATTAAGTTTTTTTTTTCCCGTTGCCTTTAAATTTCATTCGGTTCCCCAAGTGCTTCCCGGTACAAATTACCAACTTTGAAATTGAAAGTTAAGAACTGAGTTGTGTTTTTATTTGTCTAATGTGACGTAGTAGATTGAGGGAAATATAATTTCTTTCGTTTGAGGAACGAATTAGAAGGAAATTATTTTCCCTTAAGGTAACGTAGTCATCGTCAGGAAATTTAGTAAAAGCGTGACATGAGTGCACGATATTTTCGTGCAGTATTTCAGTCTGTGTAAGTTCATTCAGCTTTGGGTAACCGACCGGTTTACATCGTTTAATTTTTTATTTCTTTTTCAAAAATAGAAAACAGATAATTATGAATAAAATATGTTTCATTCATAGGTAGAGTGTGAACAGATATGCATTTGTAAATTTGTAAAATGGCGCCCAAGTGTTTTCTTTAATGTAGTACTTAAACATTATTGTGTGATATTGTATGAATTGTTGTATCATCGGTTACCCAAGTGCTTCGGTTACAAATTACAATTTGAAATTGAAAGTAAGACTGAGTTATGTTTTTATTTGTCTAATGTGACGTAGTAGATTGAGGGAATTGTTAATTTTTACAGTAACTTAAAAAAATATTTTTATGACATAATTAATGATAATTTTTTCAATTTCCAGATACAAAGTGCTTCAAACTCCATGTACATTTTAAGGTAATACTGACCTGACTTTGCCAACAATTTTAACACGCTTAGGGCAATCAAGTGCATTATTACAGGATATATGCACAGCATAAAAAAGGAATGCTTACAATGATGTCATATGACGTCAGATACGAGATCAATAAACTAATTTCATTTTCCACTCTAATTCTTTTTATTTGAAACGATTTTTAAAAAGAAATACATATTTAACCTTTAGAAAAGATGAAGCAAACTTTAACTTGTTCTGACTGTCTGTTCCACTTTATTGATATTGTTATGTAAGATAAATAAACAGTTTACCACTTCTATGTTGTTCCATCTGTTCTATGGAATTGACATGTAGATTACAGAATCCACAGTAAAAACTGGCATCATTTTGACTCTCTAAGGCTGAAAAAAATCCAAATTCCACATTCAAATTATTGTTTGTTTCACCTTAGAAAAAATATTTAGATTTTTAAAAGGCAGTTGTGTGTTATTGTTTCTTTCACCTGTGAGGAGGAAATATATTTTTCAATACCAGTACACATGTGAGAGAGTAGGTATTTAACATCAATTTAAAATTGTTTGTTTTGTTGATATCTTTAAGAGAACAACAGAATTCAACAACTGTGAAACGGGCCATTCAATCAAAAAGGGGGGTCGAGAAGCCGTCAAAACACGTCTATATGAGGCAAAGTGCGGAATAAAGTCATTATTGCGGTGACTTGTCTTAGTGCAGTAATTGTCTTTGAATTGTGAAATATAATTTACAGAACAAGATACACAAAACACTTATAAAGAAATTTACGGAATCATAAATTAAAGCAAAGGCCATGAAAGAAATATGTGAACATCACTATGGATGATATAATGGCTTTTATCTCATTAAATAAGCCCCCAGACTATCACTTAAAATTAAAAAATTTTACAGCGATTAGACAGAGTTTATGCTTATAAGTGAAAGTCTGGGTTTTTTAATGAGATAAAATCTATATCATTCAGAGTATATCACTCATAGTGTTGTTGTTATTTGTCGATTTATTTTCTTTTCCGAATACCAACACAAAATTTTGACAAAATTGAATATACGTATGCTTCATATCTTATCGTTAAGCAACAGTAATGTTTGGATCGGTAGTTTTGTTGGCTTTGGATTAGAGACTATTATGTTAATAAACATCTTTTTGATTATCATTTTAAAATAATATTAGCAACATTAAATTGAAATTAACAGGATTCACCATAAAAGCATAATATAAAACCATTCGATCAAATCGTTCATCGCAATTTTTCATTTTTCGCTGTATTTTATACAACAGATAAAACATATGTAAACTAACGCTGTGATGGAATGTAATATGATAATATAACTAGTATACATATAATGATTAGAGAGCAATGGTCAGTCATTTAGTAATTAGTTCAATAATTTAAATGATTGCAAAGTTTATAATACAATGCACAATGCTATGAAAGTCCACGGAATATTCGGGAGTTACTTGGCAAAAAAACTAAATGAATTCTAAGAATGCAACAATATACATGTATAGTCATATTTATGATGTTACAATTATTTCTAAAATTGTGTAAGGCAGTCTAAATGCGTCAAGCCATCGTGGTTATATTGAACCTTTACTAGATATTAATGTTTTTTTTTTCCAAAAGAAATAAAATCGCAAATGTTTATAATCATTGACACAAACGAAACTGTGACGAAATGTGTAACCGTTTAAAATAGTGTTTCAAATGTCTCAAATGTTACATTATTCTTCATGTTATCGCCATCATTTTCTTCGCCGTTCGAGCAGATGTTATTCTGCTGCCTGAAATACTGGTACTTCTCCAACCTCACTATTGTCCTTAGCAAATTATTCTGATAACAACTTTCTCTCTTCTTTAGCTGTTCATTTAACGCGAAACCTTTTCTGTCTCGATCACCTCCCTTAATCATTCCGTCATTGTTCTTGACAGATATATAAAAGTTCAGTCCTTACATTTTCCTAGTCGAAACACACAAGTCACATTATTTTACATTTAATTCTTTTCTTCTTTTCCTCCCCTTTTAACGCAGCCCTTGTTGCTTCTTCGAACACTTCTCTCACTCCTTCATTTTTCAAAGCAGAACATTCTAGATAACACACTGCTCCGATATGTTCCGCCATCGCACGTCCACTTTCAAACGTTACTACTTCTTGTTTTCTTTTTTCAAGTTCACGCTTAGTTGATTCATCATTTCTTAAGTCTTTCTTATTTCCAACAAGAACAATTGGAACATTGTAACAAAAGTGTTTCACTTCTGGTGTCCATTTTTCAGATACATTTTCTAAACTATCTGGAACACATAAGAATAACATCGGTGTCGGGATTGAAAGAGGTCTCAGTCTATCATAGTCATCCTGGCCGGCTGTGTCCCATAAGCCCATCTCTACCACATTCCCATTCATTACAATGTCTGTGACGCTAGTTTCAAAAACAGTTGGAATATAAAATTCAGGAAACCTGTCTGTGCTTAATACAGTTAGAAGGCAAGTTTTACCGCAAGATCCGTCCCTAACTATCACTAACTTTTTACGAATTACAGACATTTTCTTATTGTTTTGTTAAACTCTTCTTAAAAATCTCAAAATATTCATACTTTCGTGTTTAATATAGATCTAAAAAAAAAAAATAACGAACCAAGTCTAATTATAACCCAGGTAAGTAAATTTCTATTGGTTAGTGGTTGCTTCTATAATTAGCATAGATATTCCAGATTTTTGCGCATTGACATATTGCATAAAGTTATGTTTTAACTAAATAACTTTGTGTACAATCAAATTATACTTAGGACATAACTTTGTTGGTATTAATTTAAGCCGCGGGAAAATTAAATACATTACGTACTGACCTAAATCAATCCATGCGCGGTATTTAAAATAATCAATTTGAAATGAATTCTCTTGGATTCATAAGCTTTACTTTCAAATGCAACGTACGTTTAAGTAATGTTAAAGACGATTGTTTTGAGACAAAAAAGAAAACGAAAAGAAAGAGAACGGATCGAGTGACCGTTGTTACTGTAGCTGTCAATGCGACATTTAAATTAATCTAAAAATATTTCCGAAAATACTCTTTATTTTTTCCTAAAAGAATTTACATGTACTTAATTGTGACATATACAAATAAAAAAGTTCAGTTTGTTTATATTTACTTTTGACTACAGGGAAGGGTCATGAGTCAATCTATAATAATGCCTATATGATACATGTAAATTTAATTCACGTTATTTTTGGACGTGTATTTAAAATTGAATTATTGTGAAGTGAACAAAGAAAGTAACTGGCTCTCGCTACTAAAAAGATATCAAAATGTCCAATACATCCCTTACTGCGTTAGTCACGCAGTAGAAATATAGTGGTAAATACTGCAAAATCAATCATTAATCGCACATAGTTCAATTAAATCATTAAAAATCTACTTGAATCTTTTTACTTTTCCTAACATCTTATTACATTTTTCTCAAGTTTGATTTTCTTGGAATATTTTGGCTCATTTCAAGGGAAGCAACTAGAAAAATGTACTATCATTAATTAAACATTTATAATGCCTTTTTTCTATCTTGTTGATACATGTATTATTATTATTGTATTAATTTGATGCAATGAAAATGATATTCCTTGATTTATCTTGTAACCGCAGCTGGTACTTTTCACTGCCTAATTTGATTTTACTTGAGCATACTGTCACGGACTCGTTGATAATTTATGGATCTTTGAGAACTGTCCTAACTTTGATAAGAAGTCATAATTACCAAGCGCTAAGTATTCAGGTATGCGTTCGGATTCTTTATAATCAAACAAATTCTACTGGGTTAAAAATATAAATATCTACTTCTATGTATTTTAATTTTCTGAAGTTATAACTGGAGTTATGAAAGCAGTTATTTATTTGGACCATTTTTAGCTGAACCATTTTTACTTTTTATACTGTTGGTCCATCATGTTTTCGTTGAGTAATCTTAAAACTACATGTATTTTAAGCTAAAGTGTTCACATGTTAATAGAATAAATCAATAAATAGATAAAAACAATGTAGATAAATTAATTGATTAATTAATAACATAATTAGTCAGGCAGTTCCATTGTAGTGCTGTTTAATAACTGTATATTTTGCTTTATTAATTTCAAACATTTATAAAAAATATAATATATTAAAATAGTCTATAATTATTTAGTATAGAAAAATGTTAGCCAATGGGCGTTAATCTGTCACGGTTATATTTAGACGCGATTTGCTATGCGTATTTTTAGATCTACAAATATATATGTGTATAAAGCGTAAATTTGTTATAAATAATTATATAAATGAAATTATCGCAAACAAACAAGTTCGTTAAACGAAAAAGGTTTTTTGTTGTGTATTTTTGAAAAGAAGCGTTAAAAAATAACGATGTCCGTACTTCGGAAAAAGCTAGTGATAGTTGGGGACGGTTCCTGTGGTAAAACTTGCCTTCTTACAGTACTAAGCACAGACCAGTTTCCGGAGTCTTCATACCAACTGTATTCGACAACTACGTAGCCGATATTGAAATTGATGGCAGAGAAGTTGAAGTGGCATTATGGGATACCGCAGGCCAAGATGACTATGATAGACTAAGACCACTTTCCTACCCTGATAGTGACGTCATTCTTATGTGTTTTTCCATTGACGATAAGGACAGCTTACTTAAATAAATGGGCACCGGAAGTTAAACACTTTTGTTTCAGTGTCCCTATCATTCTTGTCGGTAATAAGAAAGACTTAAGGAACGATGATATGTCAGTATTTGATGAACAAAGCAATAAAAAGAAAGAGGCAGTAAAATTTGACGACGGTCGAGCAATGGCGGAACGAATCGGAGCAGCGTGTTATTTAGAATGTTCTGCTAAAGAAAATGACGGAGTTAGAGAAGTATTCGAGGCAGCGATTAGAGCAGCGCTTAGAGGAAAGAAAAAGAAGAGGAGATATCTATGTGAAATAATGTAACTTGTAAAACGTATTCCGGGATTACAGAGGATGGGGTAGGAGCTGTGAGCACTACATGGAAATAGGAATTCTTGACGGGAATTTCGTTATAACTTATAATGCTATCTGTTCAAATAAAATACAGAAATTTCTATTTCTTTTTTAGTTCACATTGTAAAAGGCTTACATATCAGGCATGGTTAAGTATGTACATGAACAATGTATTTGTGTTTGCAAGTGTACTATATATGAATAAATTTATTCTCTTTCTTTATTGAATGCATTTGCTCAAGATTTACGTTGTTTCTTTTGTTTCTAACATCTTAGACACACACTTTTTTGTCTCAGTTAACATGAACAAAGTAGTCATATGCTTATTTACATTTTGTTGACAACGGTTTAAATTGTAATAATAACATAATAAATCAATATTCATGACAGTATATTTTTTTAAACTCCCCGTGCTATGATTAATTTATCTTTTATAGAACTACACAAGGCATAGACACATATGCGCGAAACACCTAGCCTCTAGGTTATAAAGTTTCTGTTGAACAGATTTTCGCAATTACTTTTAAAGTTACAATATGCCTCAGGGTTAGAGTCGATGACTTCTAATCCAGTTACCTCTCTGGCGTGGGTTCGATCCCCGGGAGATGCTTTGGTAGTTTAGCGCGGAGGAAGGTAGTCTAGTACTGGTGTAACTCTCCAGGAACGATGGTTAGGAAACTACCCGCCTATATGACTGAAATACTGTCGGAAAAAGGCGTAAAGTGAAACAAACAAACAAACAAACACTATGCCTCAGAAATCCATATTCATAAAAATTTTCAGAAATGTCAAACATATGTTTAATAATGTATTTATAATTCCTTTAGGGTATTTAGATGTTTAAAAGCTTGAAATTGAACTATTGAACATGCAGTATGTCGTTAAGGTAGCAAAATGTAAACAGTCTAGTATTTTGATTTCCATATAAAATAATGTTTCATTTTAATTATATAAATTATATAACAAAACCAATGGTGCAAAGATGATTCATTTAAAGGGCAATTGAGAAGGGTTTTTTTTAAACTGTGACAAGATACCAAAAATAACAAGAGCACCGCTAGTCGGAGCATTATATGCCCGAAAGTATTTTTTATTTAGTAAGGATGACCTTGACCCTTGACCTTTTGACCCCCTAAATCAATAGGGGTCTTCTACCCAAAATTGACAATGATCATATGAAGTTTGAACATTGTGGGCCAAAGGGAACTTAACATATGCTCCGGAAACTGTTTTCATTATCAAGGTAATAGTGACCTTCACCTTTGACTTTTTGACCCCAAAATCAATAGGGGTCTTCTACCCACTCTGGACAATCATCCTATGAAGTTTAAACATTGTTGGTCGAATGGAACTTAAGTTATGCTCCGAAAACTGTTTTCAGTTATAAGGTAATAGTGACCTTCACCTTTGACCTTGTGACCCCAATATCAATACGGGTCTTCTACCCAATATGGACAATCATCCTATGAAGTTTGAACATTGTGGGCCAATTTGAACTTAAGCTATGCTCCGGAAACTGTTTTCAGTATCAAGGTCATAGTGACCTTTGACCTTGTGACCCCAAAATCAATAGGGGTCTTCTACCCAATATGGACAATCATCCTATGAAGTTTGAACATTGTGGGTCGAATGGAACTTAAGTTATGCTCTTGAAACTGTTTTCAATTTTAAGGTAATAGTGACCTTGACCTTTGACCTTTTGACCCCAAAATCAATAGGGGTCTTCTACCCAATATGGACAATCATCCTATGAAGTTTGAACATTGTGGGCCAATTTGAACTTAAGCTATGCTCCGGAAACTGTTTTCAGTATCAAGGTCATATTGACCTTTGACCTTGTGACCCCAAAATCAATAGGGGTCTTCTACCCAATATGGACAATCATCCTATGAAGTTTGAACATTGTGGGTCGAATGGAACTTAAGGTATGCTCTTGAAACTGTTTTCAATTTTAAGGTAATAGTGACCTTGACCTTTGACCTTTTGACCCCAAAATCAATAGGGGTCTTCTACCCAATATGGACAATCATCCTATGAAGTTTGAACATTGTGGGCCAGATGGAACTTAAGTTATGCTCCGGAAACCAAATTGCTAACGGACGGACGGACGGACAGACAGACAGACGGACGCTAGGGGGTATAACATAATATGCCCTTTCGGGCATATAAAAAGTATTTGAGAAATAAAAAATATAATATTTCTTAACATAGACTTGTATAATTAGTGGTCTTTAAAAACTTCTTAGAATTAACAATGTGTAATACACATAACTTTTGTTGTGATCTACTTGGTCTCAAAATGTATGTTAGACAAGCTCCCGGTGTATAAAATGGCCCTGTCCAGGAGATCACTTAGTTAACATAGACTTGTATAATAAGTGGTCTTTAAAAGCTTCTTAGAAACTACAGTTAACATAGACTTGTATAATAAGTGGTCTTTTAAAAGCTTCTTAGAAACTACAATGTGTAAAGTTTAGATATTTGGCATATATTATCACGTTGCAGTCCTCAACAAGTTATATAAATCATGCCCCTCGGGTCCAAATTAGCT